CCCTCCCCCCCCCGCGGTGCCGGGGCTCCGTCCACTAACTACCCCACCAGGAAAAGCTAGGTCATTTCTTTGGAATCAGGCTCTTGACAACGGACTGCTTGTTCTTCATTGGAAAAACCACTAGCAGCAACCGAGAGCTTCCACGAAGCGCTTTTTAGCGGATCCGGTTATTGTAAATATTAAATGAGCTATGCAAACGCACGACAGGTCCTAGCTCTGAGTGAGTGCTAGATAAAGGCGGGCTATTATTACTAGACTTCTTCTTCCTCCTCCTCCCCCTTGTCTGCTGCCACTACAATCCCCCTCACCAGACAGCTGTCCACCGTCCCCGCCACTCCCGTACTCGATCAGCCTTACACGGGACCGTTCCACGGAGGAGCCCTGTGACGACCATGTGATTTTTAATCACTGTTCTCAGGCTCTCAGACCCTAGACTCTCTGACCTCACTTCGAGCTGTCCACGCCCAATTCAGCTTCTCATGTGAACATTTACATCAATGTTTAATGGCCAACACCCAACGGGGCCCTTCCGAACAGATGTTTACAGATGCTGTCTTCGCGGCTGGAAAAGGACACACTCCCAACAAGCACGAGGCTTGAAGTCTTTGCCTAGAAACTCAAAGTGACACATTTAGGTTTGAAAGCCTTGTACTTACTGTTAATCAAAAAAAGGCTCTGGCGTAATAAAACCGTAATTGTATGTGCGTATGAAAAATGCAGTAGCACCAAGTGGGGTTCTTAATGACAGTTATCACTTTTTTTTTTTTCTTCCCAATCCAGAGTCCCCAGGGCCCATTCAATCAGTTATGGAATAATACTTTTCATATTCTTTTAGATGAAGATTCCTTTACTTCATTTCCATTTATATTTTCAATTTCCCCACTAGACATTGTTATCTGGGTCACATTAGGGAATGATGAGTTTCATGAAATCAGAGAGAAATCTATTGAAAGGCACCCAAGGTTATGATGTGTTCTAACCTTTCTCTTGTCACTACTGGAAGTCCATAAGGGATTTTTCTCTTTCTGGAGTAAAGATGACTTGCATTAATCAGCAGAAACTTGTCTAGGTGCTTATGCAGTTTCTTGTTCTAAGTGGAAAATAATTAAACACACAAAGATAAATAGATACCGGCTGGGAGTGAATTCTAATAAACCCTTGCATAGATGGAGCAAAGATTTTGCTCCGAACGAAGACAGAACAGGGGTCAGAGGTTTAGAGAATGAGGCATAAATTAGTTTCAGACAAAGGGAGAGGTGGTGAGAAAAACATGCTTTGACAGCAAGTTCTTTTTTATCAGAATTTTCTAAGGGTGGTTATTTTCTTTGGGGACACACAAAATGAATTTCCTTAATTCCTCAAGAAGTCAAGAGTGCTGACTTGTGGCAACAAAGCTGTTCTCTAACTGAACGGTGGCTGTGGCTCAGAAACCTAAACGTAACACTCAACGCTCGTGAAGCCTTTTCCAGCTTGCGCCCTTCTTTCTCGTGGCCTGGCTACACACCTGTGGGGCAGGTGTTATTACCTGCCTTTTCCAAAAGGAAGAAATGAGTCTTCAAGTGAAGTAACTTCACCCCAACCCAGTGCCGTCCCCAGGAAGCCATTCGTGAGGTCACGAATGTAGTGTAGTCAGTCACATTGGCGCACCTGTTCAGAGCGTTTCACTAGCCATGTCGGGGAAACCCACTCAGCAGTTAAGCTCCCAGAGTTGCTTTCCATACTTGGCCCAGAATATACGTTTCAGTGACAGGTCAGTTCATCCATTAGGCAGTCTTTGAAAATCAGTTCCTTTTGTTGTGTGTTGTTTCAGGAAGCAAGGGCTGCTTGCTTTTTAGGAATTTTCCATTTTCTCCTTTTCAGAGGCTCTTGGAATAAAGCTTTGAGGAGTGGGGATCTGGATTTGGCTGATGATGCTTGACCAGGGATTGGCAAACCATTTTTAAGAAAGAGCCAGATAGTAAAATTTGGGGGCTTTCGAGGCCATAAGGTCCTTATGGCAGCTACTCAACTCTGCCATTGTGGGGTGAAAGCTGCCACAGACAACATGTAAATGAATGGGTGTGGCTGTGTGCTAATAAAACTTTATTTATAAAAACAGATAGTGGGCCAGATTTGGCCCGTGGGCTGTAGCTTGCTAACCTCTAGACCAGGGGCGTTCTTTCTTTTGTGTGGTGTGGAATACCTGTGAACTAGCTTTGCACGGCCTGTGTTACGGAGCACTCACAAGAACCCTGTGAGGTCGCTGCTACTCTTCCCATTTAACAATTGAAGCTGGCAGAGGCCGAAAGACATTGAGCAACTGGCTTGGAATCACGCTGCTAGTGAGTGATGTGACAAAGGTAGATCTCGTGACATCTGGCCTCTAGTCAGGTGATCTCTCCTGGCATCGTGCCCCATATTATCCATTAGTCAAGGTACAAAGAGGCCTTTGAACTGCAAAGAAACCTACGCACCAAGATTTTGTTACTGATATTAAGAGCTCTGCATGGTTCTGAAAATTCAGTATATTGATAATTCTAGAGACTGTCTAGGGTCAATAATGATACTTTATAACTACACAAAAGGTATGGCCGTTAAGGAAGAAGTCCAAGTTTGGTGAGTGGAAAGAAGGCTGGAGACATGTTCCAAGCCACAGTCAAGAGTGAGTCAAGCCTGATTTTGTTACATCTGTTACCCTGCACGTGTCAGTGTTGAAAACAGACTCCCAGCCAGTTATTTCTGAACTTCCTTCCCTTTCAAAGTGAGCCTTTGGTCAGTAGGGAAGTATCATGGCTCTCAAGCTTGGCCATGGGACCCAGAAACCTAAAAGGAATACTTCACCTGATTTTAGGTTTGGCTTCAGAAGGTAAAGCATGCAGCGGCCTTCAAAACCAACTCACTGCCTTTTTCTTTCTTCACCTGCAGAAGGCCACCATTAGCCACGTGTCACCTGATAGCCTTTACCTGTTCCGAGTCCAGGCCGTGTGTCGGAATGACATGCGCAGTGACTTCAGCCAGACAATGCTCTTTCAAGGTAAGGCTGGTTCCCTTCTTTCTGGCCCTGAGTGGCCCTGCGCCCCTCCTTCTTTATGCTGCTTTATCTTTTTTCCTGTTAAGGGACTGGGACCAAAAAAAAATTAATAAATAAGGCTGGCCTAAGAATCAGGGTGGAGTTTTAAATCCCACCTGAAATGCCTCAGGAATTTAGGTCTGTCTTTTAGGTTGAAGGTTTCATAGGCCAGAAGAGGGGGGAGAAGAGCAAAGTGTTGATTATTTATTTTACTATTGATATTTTTCCAACTATGAGGAACCAACCAAGTATTTTTCTAACACTGTCATCACAAAATTGCCTCCCAGTCATGTTGTAGCATGTCATCTTTGGATTTCTAGCCTGATTCAGTTAGCTGTTCTCTTAAGAACTAGAGCCCAAACATACGTCACACTCTTCTAGCTCGTAAGCCACACAAATGAGCCCTGCTTGCAGGATGCTTCTTGAGAAATAGATGCATGTATCTGCTGATATAGGGTCTAGTGGAAATTTCCAGGGCCAGGACTAGGGTGAGGCAAGAGAAGCATTTACTTTGGTGCAAAATTTAAGAGCGCACCAAAATACTCAGTCATCAAGATATATTTTAATGAAAAAAATTTTAGAAGCAAAATCAGTAAAAAAAAAAAAAAAAAAAAATTTGTGGACAAAATACCCAAATTCTTTTTTTTTTTTAAGATTTTATTTATTTATTTGACAGAGAGAGAGAGCACAAGCAGGGGGTGCGGCAGGCAGAGGGAGAGGGAGAAGCAGACTCACTGCTGAGCAGTGAGCCCGATGCGGGACTCGATCCCAGGACCCCGGGATCATGACCCGAGCCAAAGGCAGCCGCTTAACCGACTGAGCCACCCAGGCGCCCCAAAAATACCCAAATCCTAAATAAAGATAGGATCCACTTTGTCACACTTGTCCCAAGCTAATCCCAACCCTGGTTCCACTGAAACTTTATTTACAAAAATAAGCAGCCGGGCTGTGGACCCTAGTTTGCTGACCTGGTTTGGCGACAAGCATCAAGACCAGCATTGGCGGGGGAGGGGGCAGGGCTTTGGGCCCTGCTCTGCCAGCCTGAGGTCCTCTCTGATAAGGTCCTTTCCTTCCGGGATCTCCAATTTCAGAGAAACCTCCACACCAAACTAGTGGTTCTTAATATTTTTGAGTCACGTATCTGATGAGGGCATTGGACCTTTTCCATAGAAAATGCCAGAATTTTGCATACAACTTAGGGGGCCTCATGAAGCCCATGGTCTGTGGACCAGCAGCATCAGCATCGTCTGGAAGTCTGTGAGAAATGCACATTTCTGGGCCCTTCCCAGAACAATTGCCTCAGAATCTCTGAGGGTGGGGCCGGGAATCTGAGTTCTAACCAGATGGCCCAGGTAACTGGCCTGCCCAGGGAAAACAGAAGTACTGGTCCAGAGCTGGGGCCCCGCAGTGGGGTCCCCAGGTTTGAGTCCGGCTGCCACTCAGCGCTGGTGGGACTCAGAGAATGTTTATAAGTTTCCCCAAGTTACAGTGTCCCGGTCTGAAAAGTGGTAATAGTAACAGTACCCACCTCACAGGGGCCTGGTGGGAATGACATGCAGAGCGCCTGGTACCATCCATAAATAGCCCCTCAGTATTCGGTTTGATCTAAAAAATAATAGGGCGCCTGGGTGGCTCAGATGGTTAAGCGTCTGCCTTCGGCTCAGGTCATGATCTCAGGGTCCTGGGATCGAGTCCCGCATCGGGCTTCCTGCTCCTTGGGAGCCTGCTTCTCCCTCTGCCTCTCTCTCTCTCTCTCTGTCTCTCATGAATAAATAAATAAAATCTTAAAAAAAAAAAAAGATTAAAAATAAAAAATAATAAATGATGAACCCATCAAGAAGCCCTCCAGCCTTCGATTCCCTCTGAGGATCCCTTCTAGCTTTATAGTTTGGCCTTTAACTGTTCTTTGCTCATGTTCGCATTATGTCACCCTTCCTTTTAAACTAATTGAAATGAGCATGGCTGAATTTTTTGCCCACATAAATCACGCTTGCCACATCCACCTGTGCCCTGAGTGTCTTGGCGGCTCTGGCCACGTTGAGGAGGGCCCAGTGGGCCGAAGCCAGGTCTGTGCAGGCCCAGGGGAGAGAGAATGGGAGGCCACCATGGGAGCTTGCTGAGGCCGGGGCTCTGGAACTTTGGACACATAAATCATGATTAAGCCTCCCGTGTGCTCCGACCGAGAAGCTGGGCTCTGCAGAATGCCTTTCCTGATTAATAGGCCCCCGAGCTTGCTGGCTTCTGCGTGGACTTTGAAAAATTAAATGTTTGTAATGTAATGTAATTCAAAAAGGCCTTGTCAGCTATAAATTCCAAGCATGGAGTATTTAAAATGTCTGATCACAGAGACTTGTTGAAATTGGCCAGTGTCTCCTTTGTGTACGGACTCACTTTGTTCAGAGGTGGATGTGAGTTGACTCATTTTATATATTGGTGTTTGTCCCTATGTGTTGACAGAGGGGCATGATCCTCCACTCCTCCCCATGGTAGCTTTCGTGTCTTCCCTACAGCAGCCAGCAGCCAATGTACCAGCTAAACCTTTGGGTAGGCTTGCACACCTCCTGTTGGGAGCCAAGTATGCATTTTTTTTTAAAGATTTTATTTATTTATTTTTGCAAGAGAGAGAGAGCGTGAACCGGGGAGGGAGGAGGGAGGGGAAGAGGGAGAAGCAGGCTTCCCGCAGAGCAGGGAGCCTGATGCGGGGCTCGATCCCAGGACCCTGGGATCATGACCTGAGCCAAAGGCAGATGCTTAACTGACTGAGCCACCCAGGTGCCCCCAAGTATGCATTTTTGAGAAGTAGGGCCCAGTGTACAACACTGAGCAACAATTAGGATTTAAGTCTTAAAAGGGAAGAGGAAAAGCATAGAGAATTTCACAAAAGCCTTGCTCAGAATAATTGGGTTTCCCAGTGATGAAATTTACATCTGGTTTGGGAGCATGAGGAGGCCAGGTAGACTCTTCACGTTGTAATAAACATAACACTATTTATATTCTGTATAACATAATAAATGTTATCTATTTGCCTCAGTGTGGTAAATATAATAACAGTAATAATAGCAAGTGGTATCTGCAGAATGGCTCACAGTTACATTTTCCCATTAGTTATGTCATCTGACCCCGTGGCAGCTTGTAATGTACCTGTTATTTTACAGATGGAGAAATGATTTTCTAGGCAGTCAAGTAACTTGCAGGAGAAATTACTTGGCTACTAAGAGGGGTCTGAATTTCTTATTCCAAAGCCCAATCACTTTTACACAGCAACAGACCACCCCTAAAGAGTAAATATTACCCTGTAACCCCAGTAACTCAACAAAATGAACGAAAAGATTGATTGCGTGTTCAAAGCCTGTCTGCAGTTCTCAGCGGTCTTGGAAAATCGTGGTTCTGGAGCTTTCTCTCTGAGCCACGAACTCATCAGGCAGCCTGAAGCCAACGGATCCTCTCTTAGCATGGCTTAAAATAAATAAGCAAAGTACATAGGAAAGGGAACCAATTATATCCAAATACAGTTGTCAAAATATTTTAAACAAATTTGGATGTAGTCATATATGCTTTTTTTTTTATTATTAAAGCATTGAATGACAAGCAGTAGGTCTGTTGCCTACTGTGATTTCTGAGTAGTGATGAACATAAATGATGCTCCAAACTAGCTATGACAATTAGAAGGCAGTGTAAAAATATCTGACTTAGGTCAGAGACAAAGCCACCGGTCCCGCTAGTGTGGCTGAGATTTGTTGCCTGCTTTCATGGTGGAAGGAAACGCTACATGTCAGTGAGAGCTTAGTGGGAAGGCAGATGCCTTTTCTCCCCCGTCCCTGGATCCCATTAGGCCCGTGGGCACCAGGTTCAGCGCTTTGGATCTGAACGGTCCTGGAGAAACGTCCTAGTCACCCCGGCTTGAACCAGGCAAGAGCTGTTCGCTTCCAAGGCTGCTGTGTTTGACCTGGTTGTCCTGACTTCTAGATGGGTCTCTTCTCCACATCCGTCTCTTCATACATTGGACTTCACAACTGTGCAAAATGAATGTATCACTAGGTCGGCGGTTGCAGACTGACATGCCCCTGGGGCCACGCAGGGAGCCTGTATAGAGGAGAGGAGGGTTATCAATGGGAAGCTGGAGATCCTACGTCCACCAAAAGGAAGTGAGGGACGCTCAGCCCCAGCAGGAAGGAGAGTTCAGTTTTACCGAATATTGTGATTTTTCAGGATAAGAGGAAATTGGGATTTTTAGGTTGAAGGCTACTACAACAAATTCAGTTTTTAAGAAAGCTTGCCGGCCAAACAAAAAACTATGTCAGTCATTGGCCACTTCTGGTTTAGGTAAAAACAACAGGTATACATATTATTTATTTTGGCATTTAGCTTTTTTTTTTTTTCTTTGCAGATTTTTCAGTGCCATGTATATATAGGAAGCAAACTTTTAGTTTATATAACAGTACTGTTTTTTGAGATAACCACAGAGGCATTTTTTTTTAAATTACACTGTTTCCCATTATTCACAATAGTGAAGCAACCCAAATGTCTACTGACAATGAAAAGATAATAAAATGTGGTATATATATGCATACAATGGATTACTATTCAGCCTTGAAAGGAAGGAAATTCTGACACATGGTCCAGCATTGTATGAACCTTAAAGACATCATGTGGAATGAAATAAGCCAGTCACAAAAAGACAAATACATGAAGTAGCTAGAGTAGTCAAATGTGTAGAAAGAGTGGGGGAAAGGGGAAAATGGGTCTTGTTTAATGTGTACAGAGTTTCCGTTTTGAAAGATGAAAAAATTCTGGAGATTGGTTGCACAACAATGAAAATATACTTAACACTACTGACTTGCACACTTAAACGTGGTTAAGATGGTAAGTTTTATGTTATGTGCATTTTACCACAATTAAATATTTTTTTTTCAGTTCTACTGTTTACAGTACTAACATATGACCAAAAAATACTGCAAGAAGAAGGAACACCAGCACGAGCATTGTGTGGATCATATAAGAATTTGACCACTTAAAGCAATGATGGCAATATCTTATAGGGTTTCAAAACTTTAGAAAAAATATATGACAGTACACAAAAGGTGAGGCAGGCAAATAGAGTTAAATTATTGTACAGCTCTTATGTTTTTAGCAAATGGTAAAAGTACTAATTTAAGGTACACTACAGTAAATTCAGGATTCTTATTATAATGACTGAATGGATAATAAAAGAAATTATAAACAAAAAATAATAGGTATTGAAGGTGGCTTGGTCAAAGGCTCTTGATCTCAGGGTGGTGAGTTCGAGCCCCATGTTGGGTGTAGAGATGACTAAAAAAAGATGACAATAATAAACTTTAAAGAAAGATAACAGGTAGGAATAGTGGAATACTATGATTCCACTTCTATGAAGTTCAAAGATAGACAAAACTCTAACAGAGGTCAGAATTGTGGTTACCTTTCGGAAAGGTGGGGTAGGTATTGAGTGGGGTGTATTCACACCTGCTGGGGTCCTGGAGAACATCTGTATGTCTCCGTACAGGTGGTTTACAAAGAAAATTAATTAGACTATATACCTAAGCTCTGTATATTTATTTAAGTTGTACTTCAAAACAGAAAACAATAAAAATTCAAAAAAAATTTTTAAACTAATAGCTTAAGACAAGAGCCAGCAAACTATATAGCATTCTGAAAGTTTTTTAATGATTCACAAGCTAAGAAGGGTTTTACATTTTTAAGTGGTTGGGGAGAAAGTCTGCAGAGGAATACTATCTGGTGACATGTGGGAATTATATGTAAAGCTTAAGTAAAGTTTTGTTGGAACTATAAAAAAAGTGTATTGCTTACAATGTAATATCTTTGTTTCAGCTAATACTACTCGAATATTCCAAGGGACCAGAATAGTTAAAACAGGAGTGGTAAGTAGCAGATGGTAATTGCTTTGTCGTGTCCCGTGGTTAATTCACATGCAATTAAAACTATCACCACGAGGTGGCAGTATGATGTTGTTAAACTGCTCATGAAGAGGTGAAAATCCAGAAACAATTACATTTCTCACTGTTTATGTTATGAAAAGAAGCTATGCAGAGAGTTAAAGCAGTTGTGTTACACTGTATAATTCTTATCAAGATAAAAACTCTCCAGATTTTAAATTATTTATCATCTGTGGGATCATACAGCATAGGAGTGCAAAAGGTCTCTTCCAAGCCCTTCATTGGACATGTGCTAAAATTCAGAGGTTGTCATTTCCCAACGTTACATGGATTTGCAAATTTCTGGAGCCTCAATTAATATCTAAGCTTTGCCATTTCTAGTGTAACTAACAATCATAATATTAATCACAGTGTTGGTGATAACAGTAGTAGCCTAAAATTTACTGGCGTTTCCTGGGTTTTAGGCACAGATTATTTTATCATTTTATTTACTCCTGGCGGTATCCCACGAGATTGGTGTTACTGTTTGTTCCCATTTTACAGGTGAGGAAACTGAGGCCCGTGAGTTAAAAGTGATGCCTCCCCCAGACAGGGGCCTGTCAACTCAAGCCCAGACCATCTGACTTCTCTGTCTTGGGTGCCTTATCTTATGTGGCATTTGGCATTTCATTAACCAGCTTCAGAACCTAACATTTGCTAACTCGACAATCCTTAAACTACAAAGTTTCCCAACTACAATATGGTGATCATGTTATGAAATCAAAGTTGTTCTGGCTGTGTTGTTTTGAACCGTAGAAGTGATGGGATGGAGATCTGGATTCTCTACACCAGGTTATAAGAACTAAAATTAAACGGATAACTTAGAGCAACATTTCTTGTTTTCCCCAAGGTTCAGTGTGTGGCTCCCACATGTAAGCCCCAGTTGAGTATGGTGGGAAGAATGAGCTGAGGCTCGCGCACAAGCAGCCCTCCCTCCAGCCCTTAACATCTCTGTGCCTCGGTTTCCTGACCTGTAAAATGGGGTGATGATCCTACGTGCCTCCGGGGTAGGGTGGGAAGGCCCGGCACAGTTGGTACTTGTTAAATGGAATTTCTCCTGTTGCCACGTACGTGGGCGTAGGTTTCGCCGTGGATAGAGCCAGAGACTCTGGAAGTTGCGGCAGCTGTCAGCCCGTTGCAAAGCGTGCCGTGTTGGGTGTAACTCCTGCCTCTGCAGCGCGGGGGGCCGCTCCGGAGGGCTTTTCTAGACCTCACTGCTGGGTGCTCTCCACAAGGGCCACTGGTATATGAAAATGCAAGGGCTCCTGTCTCTTCCAGTGTTACCCTGGGATCATTCGGCCATCCGATCGATGTTGCCGGTTTATTACTTAGCTGATACTTGTCTTTACGCCAACTTTAATGGTACTTTTTTTTTGGCAGTTGGCTTCCTCCTAAGCAATCAGGGTGAAAAGTTGGGTTTGATATGCTAGTTGAAATTTTTAGTGCACTCAAAGTCGTCGTAAAACCATTAAGACCAGAGGTGGTCAACCACGAATCACCTCGTGTCGGCTTTGGCACTGCTCTTCGAGAGACCCTGTGAGGAAAATAAAAGATGAGTAAAACCCATTAAGGGTCATAACCAGGGCCTCTTTCCCAATCCTGATGACTGACACCACTCTGCTGTCTCTTCTGTCCCCTCTCCCGCCCTCCCTGGGTGACCCCTTGAAGCCCACGGCGTCTCCTGCCTCGTCGGCCGACATGGCCCCCATCAGCTCGGGGTCTTCTACCTGGACATCCTCTGGCATCCCCTTCTCATTTGTCTCCATGGCGACTGGGATGGGCCCGTCCTCCAGCGGCAGCCAGGCAACCGTAGCCTCGGTGGTCACCAGCACGCTCCTGGCCGGCCTGGGGTTCAGCGGCGGTGGCATCCCCTCCTTCCCCAGCACCGTGTGGCCCACGCGCCTGCCCACGGCCGCCTCGGCCAGCAAGCAGGCCGTCAGGCCCGTCCTGGCCACCACGGAGGCCTTGGCTTCCCCGGGCCCCGACGGCGACTCGGCACCGACCAAGGACAGCGAGGGCGCAGAGGAAGGGGAGAAGGATGAGAAAAGCGAGAGTGAGGATGGGGAGCGGGAGCACGAGGACGAGGGGGAGAAGGACGCCGAGAAGAAGAAGAGCGGGGTGACCCACGCCGCCCAGGAGCCGAGGCAGGACGAACCCACCGCCACCCCCTCGTCTCCCAACAGGACTGCCGAGGAGGGCGGGCATCAGACTCTGCCCGGGCCCGGGCAGGACCACACTGCCGTCCCCACACACCGGCCCGATGCCGTGGGTGGTGCCCGCCCTGGCCTGGATGCCGCCTCGGTCACCTCCACGCAAGTGCCCCCCACGGTCACAGAGGAGCGTTTCGAAGGGAGTGATCCCAGGAGGCCCCAGATGCCATCGAAAAAGCCCATGTCCCGAGGGGACCGATTTTCCGAGGATAGCAAATTTATCACGGTTAATCCAGGTAAGTGGCCCGGTCCTCACCTGAGGCTCCACGCTGCTGTGAGCAGGCTCGTCCTTTAAAAAAAAATAAGGATGGGAGATGAAGCTCCAGAAAGTGCTTAACGTTCCTGAAATTGTATATGTCCCTGGCATAAAAGATGTGTGTGCGTGTATCTGTCTGTCTGTCTCTCTGTTTTTTATTCTAATAAGAATAACCTCTTCTCTCTTTGTGGCTGGAATAAGACCTTCTGTGATATTTGTTTCCTGATAAAATCTACTTAACTCAGAATAACTTCAAGGATTTAAACTACACAATGAGGGGCGCCTGGGGGGCTCAGTTGGTTAAGCGTCTGCCTTCGGCTCAGGTCATGATCTCGGGGCCCCTGGATCAGCAGGGGAGTCTGCTTCTTCTCTCCCTCTGCGCCTCCCCCTGCTGGTGTGCTCTCTCGCTCTCTCTCAAATAAATAAATAAAATCTTTAAAAAGAAATAAACTACACAGTGAAGGAAATGAATAAAAAAAGACATCGATCTTAAGAAGTTTCTTCATTAAAATTTCATTCCTTACTCACTTACTCAGCACCTGGGTTTAGGGACTGTTTGGTGCCAGGCACGGGGTGGGTACCATCCCGGGGGCGGGGGGGAGCACAGCCCCTGCCTCTTGAGGCTTGCTGACTGCCTAAAGGACACAGCGATGGTGACACTGAGCTAGCGTGCCCGCCGGGAAGCTGGGAAGCAGGGTGGTACAGAGCAGGCAAGCAGGGTGGCTGGCTAGCCAGGAAATGAGCTAACTGAGGTTGAAGATGGTGAACGGTAACAGGAAAGAAGCAGGTACTGTTAAAGAAAATCATGAGGAGGGCAGGGACCCATCTTGACGAACATAGGCAAATCTGGGGATGTGACCTGCACCCTGAAACCAAAAGCATGAGATGCCCCAGAGTGGGGAGAGCTGGTGTTAGCCCACCATCCTCGCCCAAGCAATGGGGCTCTCTATGCAGAGCCCCGTTTGCCGTATGCATAACCCAGCTTATGGATGGTGAGGCCAGGGCGTGGCTGGTCTGGCCTCCGCCCTGAGGTGGTGATCCCCGTCACCCTGACCCATAGTGATTCGGTGCTCTATCATGTGCTCAGATCCTACCGAACCATCCTGATAGTCTCTGCCAGGCAGCCGTGAGCATGAGGGGTTGTTATTGTTGTGAGGGGTTTTCTTAATAAGAAATTCTTCTTTTTGCCAGACTACAAGATGTTTAGCAACAATTTTTTTTGCATCTAAGCTGTTGTGGAGTTATAAGAGTGCAAAAAAAAAAAAAAGCAACTGGTAAATATTTATTTGCTTTTGCACTTGTAAACATTAAAATTCATCTAAAGCTGAGATCTCGTATGTTAAGATACAACTTAGAATAAATTTTCATGTTTTGAATTACGTTGCTCCTTAAAGCTGGTATGGACTCGTTTTTTGAAGTTTGGGTTTCCTATGGGTGTTGCTCAGTTTGTCCTGGTTTTCAGGAAAAGTGTAGAGTAGCCTTCTGTGGAGTTGAGTGGAGGAAATACTGGGCCACTTATAAAGCTGTTTGAAGCCATTCTGACATGAACGGTGACATTTCCTCTAGGAATTACTGTGAGACAGTAGAATTTCTTGCATTTGAAGATATTAAATATTTATGGAGTACCCACTGTGTACTGGGCACCGCATGAAACATTGGGAATAGAACACAGATCAAGGCAGGCTTCTGTTCTTCCGGGGGTTTCTGTTCTAGTGGGGGAGCTTGAGGATATTCCAGTGAACAAGTGCGTAACGTCAAATAGTGGTGAGTGCTTGGGTTGGGGAGGGGGGCAGTGTGGCATCGAGTGGTCACTTGAGCAGAGACCCAAGTGGTGAGGAGGTAACCATGTGGAGATCCTTGGAAGAGCATTCTAGGCTGCAGGAGGAATAGCAGATCCAGAGACCCAAAGTCGGGATTGATTTGGGAGTGGTCGAGGAGCGATCCCAAGGCCAGTGTGTGTGGACCCTAGAGAGTCAGGAGGGAGGGATAAGGGATGAGTTCACAGATGGGCAGAGCTCAGACCAGGAGGGGGCTCATCATCCATGCTGAGGATTTGATTGTAATTGAAATGGAAAACCAGTGGTGGATTTTAGCGGGAGACTTGCTCATCTGATTAACTCTTTTGAAAGACCCCTCTGGCCTCTTTGTGGAGATTATACAGGGAGGCAAGAGGGGACGCAAGAAGCCCAGTTAGGAGGTGATGGCAGTGACATCTTGGACCAGTGGGGTTTCTCCGAAGACTAGTGGTAGACCTTGTCGAGAACGGATTTTCAAGCTTGAGCGGCTTTGCCTGTGGACTCAGGGCTCTGGCAAGGAGGTCTTCTCTGCCTGTTCCTCTTAAACGCGTCTTTGCCCGTACTTCCGACAAAGATGGCTGTCGGGAGCTTAGGTTGGGAGTGTTCATACCTCGTGAGACTAGAGAGCAGTGGGGGACCTGGGCCAGTTCCAGGTGGGAGGCAATGAGTCATTGGGATTGGTGAACCTTACGGATTTGCTGCCCCAGGGCTGGGGCGTGTGGATCTCCAGCTTCAACCATCGGGCATCCACGTGTGCCATCTTGGCAGAGTCTTGGCAAGCAGCTTCTGGAGTCACATCACCCCAGTAGCCTCTGCCCCTTATTCACTCTGGCTCCTCAGGTGGTCTCTGCTCAGCGTTGTCATCAGTAAAGTGGGGATAACAAGAGCTCTTGGTTCAGACGGGGCTGCAGATACATGGAGTCACCCTTGCTGTCAGTCACGAGGAAGGAGGAGCTGTCCCCAGCCCAAATGCCACGAAATCACAATGGCGACCATGAGGAGGCCCCTAGCAGGACTTTCTTTTGTAGTCCTCCCTGGACATTAAGGAGCATGCCAAGACTCTGGTCCCCAATTAGCAGGCATTCAAAATGACCCCCAGGAACTGTGCTCTTTCCCCAGACTGGTAAACCAGAGCAACTCCCTCACCACGTTCATCTAGTGGGAAGGTTCACGTCTCAAAGCCTTGTGGGCCATAGGTCTCTGTTGAAACTTGTCAGTCCCACCAGGTAGCACAAAAACAGCCAAAATAATATGTAAGTGAGCAGATGTGGTTGAATTCCAACAAAACGCTGTTTACAAAACCAGACAGTGGGCCTGGTTTGATCTGCGAGGAGGCATTTGCCGACCCCTGGTTTAAGTAGAAATACGTGTGTGCTTGTTGGTTGAGGAAGGATATGAGTGACTCAAGGGTAAAACCCCCAACCCCACATCAGTCCGTGATCCCCACTGCCTCGCTTCGCTTCCAGCCCTTCTAGCCTTTCCCCGCCTGCCTCCTCCAGCTTGACATTTACTTTTTAAATAAAGCCACTCACCTTCATGTCAGTGGTGACTTATTTTAAAGGTTTTGCATGTACATTTGTTTAAATCTCATTTAGTTTTTCTTCACAGTAAGTAAACACAATTATTTTCAACAATCTTTAGCCTCCTTTTTTTTTTTTTGAGAGAGAGAGAGAATCTCAAGCAAACTCCCCACTGAGCGTGGAGCCCGACAGGGGGCTCGATCTCCAAGACTCCAAGACCATCACCTGAGCCCAAATCAAGAGTCGGACACTTAACCGACAGAGCCACCCAGGCGCCCCTATAGTTAGCGTCTTTGAAACAAGCATTAATGTTTAAAGTTACAAACTCTGTTCTGTTTTGACCAGCATTTCCAAAAGGCTTGTTTTAAATTCCCTTGATGTTTGGTGACATCTTTTTAAGTCCTGTGAGTAGTAGCTTTAATATTAATTCACAAGGAAGGAGAAGAGGAGTCCTTCTGTGGGAGAAGCAGCAAAGTCAGGCAACTAGAGAAGGCAGACGGGTGGTATCAGTGAGAGAGGAGGACCACCAGGTGGTGGACATTAGGGAGGAGTGAGGACCACAGCAAACCAGAGCACACGTGTCTTCGCTAAAGAGGAAGCCTCACTCAGTTCCCCTGATCGTAGCCACTGAAGGTGCCTCACGAGCCAGAAATCCAAGTCTTTGTGCAGCATCTCCCAATTTTTAAGTGAGTCCCAATTTTTAAAACATTTTCTCTTTTTTCCTTCTTTCGTTTTTTTGTATGTTTGTTTGTCTGTTCATTTTCACATATGCCAAACTAAACACATCCCTGGGCCGGGGAGGTAAGAAGCGCTGGTACTTGGCCTCGACCGTAGAGTTGATTGCCCTCGTTCCAGCTGCCCCGCAGGCTGGTGGGAAGGATTCGAGGCCTGCATGCAGCTCCTGTGTCTATTTGCTAGCATCTACTAGCATGAAGCCCTCGGCGGGATGTGTGCCGCGTGGAAATCTGCCCTGGCCCCTCTCTTAGGAGCACAGGCAGAACAGTAGCCAGTTGATGCGTGTGTGTGTGGTCCTATAGCACCCTTGTGGGGGCTGTTCTGTCCTTGTTGCCTTTGGCCAGTGAGGAAACTGAGGGTCAGAAGGCTAAGGAACATGTCCGGACAACACAGAGCTCCAGCACGGGCCCCGACTCCAGAGTCCAGGGGAGTCCCCCTCACATGGTGCTGCCTTCCTTCCGGCTTTGGGCTTATTCCCTGAGTGGGCAACACAAGATGATTTCAGATGACATGTTAATTATTAAGTGAATATTTGTGTGCTTTAGAAAAAATAGCAGTTTTCCATTTATGGCAGAGGTTCTCAGCCAGAGAGCATTCTGTCCCCCCTCTCCCCAAAGGCATTTGGCGATATCTGGAAACATTTCCGGTTGTCGTGCCTGGGGAGGGGGCTGCTCCTGGCATGTAGTTGGGTAGAAACCAGGGATGCGGGGCGCCCGGGTGGCTCAGTCGGTTAAGCGGCTGCCTTCGGCTTGGGTCATGATCCCAGGGTCCTGGGATCGAGTCCCGCATCGGGCTCCCTGCTCTGCGGGGAGCCTGCTTCTCCCTCCCCATCTGCCTGCTTCTTTGCCTACTTGTGCTCTCTCTCTATCTCTCTGTCAAATAAATAAATAAAATTAAAAAAAAAAAAAAAGAAAGAAACTAGGGATGCT